TTTCTTTGGTGGCTTTTGGTGTTGAGTTCTAATTTTATTCCCTTGTGGTCAGAGAGGATGCAAGGTATAACTTCAATGTTTCTGAATTTAGACAAGTTTGTTTTGTGGCCTAAAATGTGGTCTATTTTAGAAAACGTTCCATGTGCTGCTGAGAAAAATGTCAGCACAGTTCTTGAGACCAGTATCCTCTGGTCTTGAACAAGTCTTCCAGTGGACAAAATGAGAAATTAATAAATGCAGGGAGCCATGTTCCTTTGCAAAGCCTTCCTTCTCAAGTTCAAAACTTAAGCTCACTTGTTACAAGATTCTTGTCAGAATTGCTGTTTCTCCTTGTAGCTTCCTGAAACAAAGAACCTCCCTCTCAAAGAAATATATTATTTTCTTATTGTACTCAAGATTATGTAGGTCCAAACTGCATAGTTCCTGAAGACAGTGCATCTTGCAATATCTTGTTCATATACAGAATAGCACAATTTCCCCTTACCTCATTGATAGCATACGTACATGGGTGCTTCTCAAAGTAACCTAGTGCTTTCAAATATGCCAGACCTGCTCTGATGTGCAAAGACATTTTCATTTCAACTGTGTGTTTTATCCCATGAGACATGAAAGAAAGGTGAATTTACTTTTGTTTTCTTCGTAATAATGAATGGCTGCTTTACTTTTTCTGTGCAGGTTTGCATAGCAGCCAGTTCTATTTCAAAATGTGCAATAAAATATCCATTTTTATGAACACTTTGCTCATATTGCTTTTCTGCCACTTTCTCTAGGAGTGTCCCAGTGGTGTTGTTAATGAAGAAACCTTCAAAGAGATTTACTCCCAGTTCTTTCCACAGGGAGGTAAGGACAAATGGGAACATGGGAACATATTCTTGCAGTTAGAATTATGCTTGCCAACTCAAGATTGGGTTAATCTTTCATGGCATGTTTCTGCATTTTAAAAATCTTTATGTAGAATAATTAATACCCAGCATTCAAGTGCAAAGAAGTTTCAGTGTATCATAAAAGTGAGCAGCTTCCAAATTACCAAATATCTAAGAGATTACATTTAAGTTTCATACAAGTAATGTGTGCCTTGTCCCGTGTCTCAAAAGCTCACTGCTCCTGACTTTTGCTCAAGAAGCTGAGTTCTGAGCATTGTGTTTTCAAGTCCTACAGAGCAGGAAAATCAATGAGACTCGAATCTCCAATTACTAATAATTTTTTAAGAGCCAAAATTAGAACAGTGCTTCAAGAGGTTGAATGGAAAACTTGAGTAAAAATAAGCAAGGGATACACACACACACACACACACACACACACACACACACACACACAGAGAGAGATATGAAGCTCTTTAACTTACATCACCATTCTTTTTGGTTTTCAACTCTCAGAATTAGGGAAAATTTAATTAGCTTCAGTTTACAGATATGAAATCTGGACCTCAGAGAAGTTAAACAGTTGGCTCAGGGTCACATTTCAACTCAGTGGTAGGTCTGGGTTATAACCTTGATTTTCTTGGAGCCTCATCTAATTTATTTCTTGCCCTCTTCTTTCCCTTTTTTTACTGTGACCCCTGCACTGATAGAAAAGTAATACTCAGGTGGGATTTTCATTGGAAAGCTAACGCCAGGAAAGCACAAATATGTTTTGTACATTTTAGAGATGATTGAAGAGATAATTTCCATTGCTGACACTTTTTCCTCCCATCATTCAGCAGATATCCATCTCCAACCCAGCCTAGCACCATTTGTATGTGAAGTCTCACTAATGGGAAAGAAATTACAGCAATGGAAGATAGCTCCCCACCCCCACGTATATTATCTTTTTGTCTAGTGTGGCAGAGATAAAATGTCAAAATAAATTATAGGTGGAATGGCACAGTTTGGAAAACATTACTCTGAGAGAGCAAGGTGGGCATCATTGTACCAGCAGGAAGAAATGAAAAAGCTCAAGTTCAGTCTGTTCTCAGGGTGCCTCATATGTGCTTGACTCTGGGCAGCTCCTCTCTCACCAATCAACACCAATTCAACCTGTGACCTCTTCTCTGAGTAAATATGGAAATGAAGATACCAGAGGTCAATCCATTTCTGAAGTTCTTAGTCCTTCTGATCCTTAGCATAGCTCTCAAGAGATGTTTCCCTGCTGAGGGTGATTTCGGCCAGCATTTGAAGACCCTGCAGACATCCTAGACATATGGAGGATAAGCAAGAGCGCAAAACATGAAAAATAAAGGTTTGCGAGAAAGTGCTGTGATTTGGGAAGTGGATTTCAGGTGAAGCATCCTTGAGTCGTGGGTGCAAATGTTCAGAAATGAGAATTTGTCTTTTGCTAATGCTAAAGACACTAATAGGATGAAGGGTGAGGCATAATGGTCAGATGCATGTTTATTGTTCACTGCTAATTCTGGAAAATTAATTTAAGACAGTAGATACTGTCAACAAGAACCTAAATTAGGAGGTTATTTGAGGAAGCAAAATAAAACCTTTAAACAAGAGAGGCGGGAATCAATTATAAATATCTAATGTGATTTTAAAAAAAGGATAGACATGTATAATAGATTATTTATAAAGTACATGAAACTGGGCACTGGTAGCTCACACCTGTAATCCTAGCTACACAGGAGGCTGAGACCTGAGGATCATGGTTCAAAGCCAGCCCGGGCAGGAAAGTCTACGAGACTCTTATCACCAATAAACCACCAGAAAACCAGAAGTGGAATTGTGGCTCACGCAGTAGAGCATTCACCTTGAGCTAAAAAGCATAGGGACAGTGCCCACGCCCAGAGTTCAAGCCCCACGACCAACCAAAAAAAAATTTAAAAAATACATGATATATGGACTGAAAATAGCAGCTTTTGGATTTATTGACTTTTTATGGTAAGTTCCAGAATAACAGGATCTTCTAATAGGAGGAAACAGGTTACAGGAGGAGTAGAAACATAGTAGGGAAGATGACCTTGTTATAGGAATAAGGGCCTCAGCTGTGAGGTGCCTGTGGCTAGTTACAATCAACAGGTTCATTGAAATTTCAAGGTCACAGAAAAAGCCAGAGATTGGGGATTATTTGCTACAAAGCAGTGGTTAAGTCCATGATGTAAATGGGGTTACTAGGAACCCTCTGAGTCAAGCTTGGAAGTATTGGCACATATTAAGGAATTCATGAAGGAAAGAGACAATGTATAGCCACAGATAGGAATAATCACAGGAAAACTGATTGATCAAAATGAAGAGAATGGAAGTTAGAGTTAGCTTATAAACTTACAAGTAACTATGTTGTGTTGTATTTGTGTACACAAATACATTAACGGAAACAAACAGCTTCAAGGGAGAACTTAGTGTAATTCTTTAGAAAGACAAAGCCACAATGCAGCAATGCAAAGCACTGAGAGCGGGGTGGGGGGAGGTGAAAGGGAAAAAGGCAGACAAGAGGAGAAGAAGGGAAGAATGCAGTCAAAATCAAGAAGAATGAGAGAAGGGGTGAGTAGGGGAGGGATGGGTGAGAATATGGAAAGGGGTGACATTGATCAAGATGCATTGTATTGTATTCCTAAACTACTTTGTTAAATGGTGATGCTTTTGTTCAATAACTTAAAGAAAATTTACAAAAAAAAAAAAAGGAATAGCCAGTCACAGGAGGTCACAGCTGGTCACATAGCTACTCAGGAGGCTGAGATCTGAGGATGGCGGTTCAAAGCCAGCCCGGGCAGGAAAGTCCATAAGACTCTTATCTCCAGTTAACCACCAGAAAACTGGAAGTGGCGCTGTGGCTCAAGTGGTAGAGCACTAGCCTTAAGCTGAAGAGCTGAGGGACACTGCCCAGGCCCAGAGTTCAAGCCCCACGACCAACAAAAAAAGAATAAATAAAGGAAGATTTAAAAAAAGTACTGAAAATAAAAACAAAGAGATAGAATGCTATAACCAAAAAGTCCACTGATAGATGTCATTGAAGTCAATTCTGATATAATTAAGTATAGCAGTAGCGGTTTTCTCCAAAGTTCATGAGACAATGACTGGTTAAAAAAAATTACACCTAAGGAGAAGGTAACAATTCAATAGGAAATGTACTCATTACCTTACTCATGTAACTGTAACCCCTCTGTACAGTATTTTTACAATAAAATATATATTTAAAAAACACCTGATAGGTACTTCTTGCAAAATGAATGAATGGATAGATGAATGAATGAGTGTCACCCATGTGACATGGTAGCTATGTTTGTAAAAGTATTGAATAGTACACAGCTCTTGAATATTTGTCATTTTATGCAAAAATACAGTTCCCTTTAGTTTCTAATGCATATGGCTCGGGCCATTTCCATGAGTACAAGACAATTCTATGCATGAATTGTCAAATCAGAGGGATTTTTAAAGACAGGTTTTTAAAGACTTAAAATAGAATTCTCAGGAGACACACGAATACCTGTTATCCTATAGGCTTGGCTGTTCCACAGGTGACAATTACCCAGTGACCTCCACCACTACATAACACGCAGGACGTGGTTCTAAGAGACCCCAGAGTGTTATAGCTATGATTTTAACATGCCCTCTGCCTTCTTTAATGAAGGAACAATTTGAGCAGCATTTATTTGCCTCATATATATTTCTACATGATTTTCAATTCTTGAACTCAGGGCCTGGGCACTGATCCTGAGCTCTTTTGCTAAAGGCTAGTGCTCTACCACTTTCAACCACTGTACCACTTCTGGTTTTTGAGTGATTAGTTGGAGATAAGAGTCTCATGGACTAGTTACTCCCGAGTAACTAGGATTATATGCATGAGCCACCAGTACCCAGAAGAATTTTTTAATAACCAACCATCTTGGACCATCTGAGTTTCTGCAGACATACTGACAGGTATGGGTATCGCAACACCAACACAGATGGAGATCATTATTGTTAATTGCTTCAAATCAAGTTATTACATTGTTACAAACTGAATACAGCTCCACATTAACATGGTATCATTATTTCAAAACCGCCATTCCCACATTACAGAATGTCTGCTTACACAGAGATACTTAACTTGGCAGAGGATTCTTGTTACAAGCCCAAAGGGATTTGGGGAGGAAAAAAATCATTTTTACTCTCTTGCAAATTTCTTGATTATTCATGTTAATTGAATTCATAAATCTAAAAGTACCAGGCATCTTTGAAGGGAATGAAATATTTTAAAGATTGATGACTTCGAATTTTAACATTAGTTAATATTACTCCAGCAAACTGTGTCTTACAGTGATGTTAGCAACAGAAATTATCCCCAGGAAGAAAGAGCACCGTCTCAGATGCAGGAGAATCATGTGATAGCCATGCTCCGCATGTGCGCATCATTTATTGCGATAGAATGTCCGAAAGCAACAGGTTTCTCTCATTAGGAACAGTAACAGCTAGGTGTCTGTCCATTAGACTATCTCACACATTTCCCCATGAAAATGCTTTTCCTTCTGCACAGAACACCTCATGGAATATGTTTTATGTCAGGCTTGTACCTCTCTCAAAGACACAGGGACTTTACCAGGCATCACAAGTTTGGTGTTCTTGATGGATATCAGAAAAACTGGACTAGCTAAATAGAAACATGTTGTCTGAACAGAATGAAGTACACATACTCTAAAGCAAGGACAGAGGCTTGGGACTATTCATTAAATAGTTACAGAAATATTATTCTAACTCTACCTATGTATGGTACAAGATGGTGGGTATAATTCTCAACTCATGAACAATGGAAGTACATGCAAACTGCAGCTTCTCAGCTCTTCTTAATTGTGTCATAGAGTTTTTGCATGTAGGTTGACTATAATAGGTCTTTAATTAGCTACTAAGGGAATAAATAAATGGGAATGGGCATAAGTGAAAAAAATCTGTCAGTAAATATTCACTGGGAAGCAAGTGTATGCAAGGCACTTGGGACACTTAAGACTAAAATAAAAAGGAAAAACTCAACTCATTGAATAATTCTAAGCATATGTTAACTCGAAAAACTAAACATATGCTCTTTTACACAGCTCTACTCCAGTCACTGAGATACATAGAGACTTCTTGAAACCAGGAACTTTATAGGTGAAGATGTTACACTTTGATAAAAGAATAGATCACAACTTTTCTATGCAATTGACAGGAGTGTGGATTATTTATGAAAGAATAATGGGATGAGCTAATATTTTTGAATATTTAACAAGTTCCCAAACATTTCACATATTATTATAGTATCTCATTTAAATTCCACGAAGACTTTATATTTCATGTTTGCAGATAGAGAAATTGAGTCAAAGAAACGTTGATTTGTAAAGGTCTCACGGTTAAGCTTTATTAAAATTGAGACGCAAGGTTCAAGCACTCTGCCTCCACCCTACCATTAACGAAAGCTTCCTACGTGATGAAATATAGCCTGGAAAATTGGCTTAACTTCTAGAAGAATTGCCAAAGAGCACTGAGAACAACAAATCCTCTGGGCCACATTAGTGAACTCAAGTGTCATTACCAGATGCCGAACTTGCAAACTAGGGAAACCCCATTCAGGAATAATAGTAATTATCATGTAGCCACATGACTGTGATTTGAAAACCTTGTTAAATGCAAACATTATCTACTCAGCGCTATTACTCACAGTGAGTTGTTGCTCACTTCGATAAAGATATTTGCCTTGATTGTGTAAACAGGGTAGCAAGAGACCATTAAGCAAATGAAGCTCATTATAAAACAGGCAAAAATCTCTTCTTTTTTCAGCCCTGAAAATAAATTTAACATAATGACTAACAGCTCCTATCTCCATAGAGGGTGATGAATAGTTCAAGAAATGTATGAAAAAGTACTGTTGAGTGCAAAATAACTTTGCAAAATAAAATTGGCCATCAATCTTGATTCTTCCATAATGGAACAGCCCAACAATTGCACCTAACCAAGTGCCCATCAAACTTCTGGTTCCACATCCAAAAGATTCCTTCCTGTAATCCATCAATGCTAGCTAGACATCCACTCTAGACATGATGGTTTTATTTATTGTTTAAGACAAATGATGGTGTCTGCTTAGTTCATTAAATATAATGTTAGTAATTTCTATAATAAAAAATAAGTGACTTTGAGCCAAATGTCACTAGTGGGTCATGTCTGTAATCTTAACTATTCAACAGGCTGAGATCTGAGGACCCCTCTTCAAAGACAGACCAAGCAGAAAAGTCTGAGAGTATTTATCTCCAAAGAGGAGGCATGACTCAAGTAGTAGAGCACCAGAGTGAGTGGAAAAGTCAAACAAAAACACAGTTCCCTGAGTTCAAGCCCCTGTATCAGACCCCCCCAACTAAATAAATAAGTGGCTGTTCATATTTTATTTCATGGTAAGAGATGAGTTGACATGCCACTCATATTTTGAAAAATTGAGTATGTGGTCTGCCTCATGAAAGGCACGCATTTCTATATCATTAACTGTGATATATTTCCTGAAGTGTTCAGGAAAACAATCTCAACGTATTCCATACTCCCATAGAAACTTGGATTCTGGCAGAAAATAAAAACTTTCAAATAAGTGGAACAGTGCTACTGGGAAAGAGGAGAGAGCCACCTCTCTAATCAAACAAGGCAATTCTCAATTCCTGCTGCTCTTAGTTTCTTGGTAGCCCTTTAAAATCAATTTATAAAGGAAAACTGTATTGCAGTTTTATTAAATCCCAATAAAAATACAAGCTAAAAGTCAGGAAATAAAAAAAAGATGAGACTTGCAGCAGACAATAAAATGCTAGAACCAATGAGCTAAAAGGTTACATTTTCTTACAAAACAAAAGGTTAAGACAAAAGGCTAGAACCCAAGAGATGAAACATTTAAAATAATCATGTAAATATAATCCAAGGTCAAGCATAAAAGCACTTTAGAATGAGAGCTGAGCACTAAGAAAGCAACGAGGAAAAAAAAATACAGTTTTTAAATAAGAAAAGAGATGAGCTAGATTAGGGAGAGAAAGGGGGTGTGAGGCTCAAACAAAGAGGAAGAGCTGGATTTCAAAGGATGTGGGTGTCCTTAGAAAGCAGCATAAGAAAGCGGGGATAGAGGACTATTCATACTGGTCCCTACAGCCCAGAACAGAAAATCCTCCCCAGGGGTCACACAGGGTAGGGGCTTATGGAGAGGGAGATGAAGTTAAACCTAGGGCCTTGAACTTTCTAGGCTGGTGTTCTACCAATTTAGTCACACTTCTAGCCCTGTTTTTTGTTGGTTATTTTCAAGGCAGTCTCTCCTAGACGTCTCTGCCCCAGCTAGCCTTGAGCTTCAATTCTTCGGTTCTCAGTTCCCCAAGTAGCAAGGCTCACAGGCGTGAGCCATCTAGGATCCTGAGGATCACCTATTCCCTCCAACTTGGCCTCAGACATTGTCTAAATCACTGCTGTTCTCAATCCATCAACTGACTAGTCTGGCCAGAGGCTCTGACTCAGATTCTGCAGATCTCAGACCAACCCCTTAGTGATTGTGGATTGTGACTTTGGACACGTTTTCTTTAAAAACAAACAAAACAAAATTCTGGGCTTGAACTCAGGGCCTGAGCATTGTCCCTCAGCTCTTTAGCTGAAGGCGAGCACTCTACCACTGGAGCCACAGCGCCACCTCCAGCTTTTTCTGTTTATGTGTACTGAGGAATTGAACCCAGGGACTCATGCATGCAAGGCAAGCACTCTACCACAGAGCCACCTTCCCAGCCCTGGACACATTTCTTAGTCTCTCTGAGTCCCAATATCCTTCTATGATTCCTAGTATTGTTTAAGTCTCAATAAGAACAGGTACTCTACTAAGAACAGCTCATCGTTGATATGCACATTACCTCTAGAAAGAGCCTGTGCCAAGCATCAGCCAATTCCAGACACAAGTCACCTTAATCTCCACCCTCATCTATGAGACCATTACCCCAGTGTTGCTACTCAATATCCAAGGCTTTCATGTGTCCAGCCAGAAACTCACAGAGAATGTCAGCTGTGGTTTCTGATCATGTTCCTGTCTTTTGTCTATCTTCTGGATCTCAAGTTTCAACCCTTTACCGAGACAGGGTGGCCATTTAGTTGGAAAGAAAACACAAGCTAAAAAAAGTAAAATTTATTTTTCTCCTCTTTTTTTTTGTTTTGTAAATAAAAGGAATTTGAACCTGCTAGCCAAGTCTCCCATAAGCTATGGATATACTAAATGAATGCTCTTCTCTTTTTGATATTTCAGACTCTACAACATATGCACATTTTCTCTTCAATGCATTTGATACAGACCACAATGGAGCTGTGAGCTTTGAGGTGAGACTTTTGCATCTTCTGATACTTGGAAAGGGATATTAATCTTCTTAGTGGGAAAATTGGGGGTAGGTGATTTGATCATTTTTAAAAAGCTCAAGGGCTCTCCTCTGATTCAATTGCCAAGAAGCTGCTCTTCTCTTTCAAAATACAAGTAACAATCCACGGGTAGTTTATTTGAAAATATCTTACATCTGTTTGAGTGTGTTTTCCATCGACTCTATTAGAACAATCCCAGAAACAACTGAGTGAGCCAACATTTTCTGGCAACTACCATGGGCCATTTACTGTGGTAGGCCTTGGAAATACAAAGATAATAGACTCAAAAGTTTCTCTGTGGAAAGCCAAGTAAGTGGCACAGACAAGAAAATAAATACAGAAAATACTGTATTCACCAGCCTGACAAGTTGATAAGGAAATGACTTTTAATGGAGTGATCTGTAGGAAAAACATGCAATGTTGCTCCCTGAAATATTGTATATAAGCATCTAGTAAAATGAAATATGTTATGGGTTCTCATGAAACACACTTATAAACAGTGATAGATATTCCTCACATACAGACAATGAGGTCGTCACTGTGATTCATTGGATCCATAGCAGGTCATAGGTAGTAATATCCCTGAAACAAACTGCTAGCTAAAAAAAATCATACATTAACTTTGATCATCTGTAAGACAAGTATCTTTTATTATGGGGGAAAACAAGGAGTACAATGTATTACTCATCTGTTGGTTTATATTCTAAACAGCTCTGTTTGGTTTCTGTGGCACAGAGTTATCCTATAATGAATTATTTCACTTTGTAATTCTATCTTCTCTTAGGTAGATGGACAAATAGATAGATAGATATATACATACATACATACACAACATAGATATCTAAATATACTAAAAGTGATGCAATAATTTTGGAGGCATATTTTGAACACAGGTGAAGGAGGGTGCAGCTGATATGTGAGCAGAAACTGGATCATGACTGAGAAAATCAAATAATGGCCAATGCACCAGGGGCAGAAGGGGCTGTAGCCAGGTAGCCTGCTGGTGAGTTGATTAACTCTGAAGGAAAAGCAGAAACTGGCCAAGAGAGGAAAAGTTTGACATAGGAAACATTGAAGCATGAGACAGAAGCCAAGAAGAGAATATCAGGCCTAGGAATGAAGAGAAAATGGAGTCAGACTTTTTCTGTGCAGAGACCCAAACTCCAAGAGTTGTAAAGTCAGACCCAGCGCACAGCCCTGTAGGCCAAATAGAAACATGGGGAAGGGCAGAGGAAGGAGATTGATCACTTGGCAGCCATGGGAAGACAGTATTGCACTGCAGCTTCTGTTGACTTCAGGGGTACTAACATTTGCCTTAACTCTAAATGGAGCTGGAACTGGGGTTAGGAAATGAGGAAGGGATGTGTCATTGAAATAGTCCAAAGTCACAGGAAGGACCTGGTTGATTCTTATCTAAGACTTTGTGTCTGGAGGTATTTGGGACAAGTCACTGCTCCATCACTTGAAGGAATGGGAAGAAGTATCAGGAACTGCTGTCTGGCAGGTCATCTATCCCGAGCTGTTCTCTGAGGGTAATGTTGCCATTCGTCACAAAGAAAATAGCATTGCTTGTCTGAGGGGCAGCAGTTGGGTGGAGGTAGGAGGCAGAAGAGCAGTGTGAGGGTGAACTAGGTGGTGAATGGTCTCTAATGCTTCTTGCACTGTAGCAGCTTTAGCTTAGAGAGCCCTGGAGAATATCACTTAATATCACATTATTGTTACCTGTGTACTCCCCAGAATGATTCCAGCACTGCCTCTATGTGCTTCTAATGTGAGAGTCAAAGGTTCTAGATTTGACAAAGAGGATGACAGAGACAAAAACCCAGTGCAGCACTTTCCTATAACACGCATGCCTTTAGCCTGGTAATAATGTGGAATTATGCATTACAAGGCTCTCATAATTTTATTTAAGAGGCCAGTAATGATGATGAATGTTGGTTACAATTTGGGAAATTAGTTGTGACAGTTATGAGTGAAATGCATAGTGGGTACAGTGCCTTTTCTTCTAAAGGCATACTAATAGCTAAATTAATAATTGTTGAAATGAAAGCAAATTTAAAACTAGGCTATTACATTGATTTTCCTAAATTGATTAGCTACTCAGAAAGTCTCTGGGACACAGAAAGGTTAGAGAAGAAACATGTTTTGAGTAGCAATCAACGGTTTACTGGGAGATGGAGAGTATTTTGATTTTCAGATAAAGGAAAAAAGAAATTTCATACTTAATCTGTTTTTACCTGAAGGGCAAAATAAATAAGTCAGGAGAGGTCCTGGGTTTAAGAATGATTTGATCTAAACTCCTTTCTGGCTTGGGCTTAGTATTTAAACTCTCCGGGCCTTAATGTTCATATCAATAAAACATCAGCAAGCAAGGAAAAATCACAGGTCAATTTAAGAATGTAAAAGTAATGATGTCAGTAAAGGATTGGCTCTGTCTCTATCTAGCACCAAGCATGTGGCCAACACTTACTGATGTTAACCATAATAATTACTTATGGAATTTCTCTAACAAAAATAATTAATAGTAACAACTGCCATCACATTACACAGTAATCTCTTTTTGAATGTTTTCATGCAACAGCCAGATGATCACTCTGATATTACACAGGGCATATCTGTATCTCATTATAATAAACATGAACTGTATTAAATGTTCAATTTACCACTAGTAATAATAATAGCTATACAGCAATCATACTGATGATTATTTAACTTTTGTTATTTTAGGAATTGTATCTAGGTAATTATGTAATAGTATTTAATTTTTCTGGATATCATTATCCCTTTGCCATGTATTCAGTTCGGCTCTTGGAGCAATTGTGAGCATAGACAATACCTAACCAAATGGATGTAGCTGGATTTCATAAAGTTTTATTTACAAAAACAAGTGGTAGGCCATCATTTTCCAACTGTGTTCCTATTTCTACAGCCTCTGTCCTACTTGAGAGCTTGAGGCACATGTTCGTCAGATGATGTGTAAAATTTGGATTCATGTAATTACTATCACCAGCTGTCATTATTACTATTTAGTAATACACCTAGTCCAAAAAATCACTGATTAATGACATCATTGTTACCTATACAACTCACTATTTGACAGTCCCATCACCATAATACACATTGCCTAGAATCTCCCAAGTATGCAAGCTATGTTGTGTATTAAAGCTTTAACATGTTCTGTTCTTTACAACAATTCTGGAATAGGTCCATGGAGTGGTCCATATAGCTGATCACGTGACTCCAGAGCTGCCAGTTAAAAGTGACAGAAAAATGCCATTCACTGACAGTTCAATTCATACGACAGAATGTGGGCCTCGTACCCCAGAGCTGTTCAGTGGAAACAAATACCACCAACCCCAAATCTAATAGCTTTGCCATCCAAGGAACCGACTGAAAGTGTTTCTCTATAAAAACACCAGCTGTGACTGTGGGATTTTTTCCAAAATAAATGCTGAGGTCAAATTAGTAATTTTCTTTCAAAATAATGGGAGGTATTATTTTAAGAAATGTATCCCTTGGTCTAGAATTTTATCTGATTTATCAGCCATTGAGTTTTATCTTTCACATGTCCCTCAAAGCCTCCCCCTTTTCTTTTCCTCCAACCCTTACCCTCCCTTCTCTCTCTCTCTCTCCTCTCTCTCTCTCACACACACAAACACACACACACACACACACACACACACCCTCTGCTTCCTATTATTACCTTATGCTGATTCTCTAACATTCTGGGGAGCTCTGCTTTCACTGGAGAGGAAGTAGAAGTAAAACTTAGGTTCAAAGCCAGGTGTTGGTAGCTCATGCCTATAATCCTACCTACTCATGAAGCTGATGATCTGAGGATCACGGTTCAAAGCCAGCCCAGGCAGGAAAACTGAGAGTCTTATTTCCAATATACTCAGAAAAAGCAGGAAGTGGTGCTGTGGTTCAAATGGTAAAGCATTTGCCTTGAACAAAAGCAGCTCAGAGACAGTTCTAGAACTGATTTCAAGCCTCAGGACAGACAGACACAGACACATTGTGTTCTCATTTCATTTATTTACTTAATATTTATTAACCCTATTACTCTTAAGATTGCTGATGATTACAAAAGAATCAGAACTGTCGTGGTGGTGGAGACTATGTTCTCCCATTTACCGTGACAAAATTCTGTAGACTTCAGTGCCTCTCAAAGCATGGGCTCATCACCTGGGCATCTTCCGTACTGCTGCTGACGTCTATTTTCTTCTTTTCAAAATCCATTAGAAAAGCAATTTAGCTGGGCACCAGTGGCTCACGCTTGTAATCTGTAATCCTAGCTACTCAGGAGGCTGAGATTTGAGTGAGAATCATGGTTCAAAGCCAGCAGGGGCAGGAAAGTCCTCATGAGACTCTTATCTCCAATTAACCACTCAAAAACCAGAAGTGGCACTGTGGCTCAAAGTGGTAGAGTGGTAGCCTTGAACAAAAGAGCTCAAGGACAGCATCTAGGCCCTGCGTTCAAGTCTCATGACCAACAACAGCAAAAAGCAACTTAAGACCAAAAGTTTATAGACAGAACCATTACGAAGACAAGAGGCAACTTCACATCGTATCACGTATTCATAGGGCTGTTGTGACAGTTAATGACACACTATGGACACACACATTCATGCTTTATTTCCTCAGCTTTCAGTTAATTCCAGCTTTGTTTCGTTTTGGACCCAGGATGCCACTCAGTTGACATTTCACTTGGTCTCTTCCACACTTCACTTAGCCATGTCTCTGCAGCCCCTGGTGGCTGTAGCAGGTACTCATAATTTCTGGCTTTTTAACAACCTTTTTTTTCCCTATTAAAGCACTTAGGTTATTTTATTTTATTGCAAGGGTGATGTACAGAGGGGTTACAGTTACACAAGTAAGGTAGTGGGCACACTTCTTGTGGAACAGTGTTCCTGCTTCCTCCTTTTCTCCTGTTTCCCCTCCCATACTCACCAGGGCTTGACAGGTTTTTGAAGAACAGCTGATCATATATTTCTTAAGAAAAGGCCCTCATCTGGGAATGTGTCTGAGATGTTTTTCTCATGATTTAACTGGGGCTGTGTGTGTTAGGCAGGAAGATTACAGAGGTAACGTGCCATTTTTAATCACATAAGAGCCAAGGAATATATTATTAAAATGACTTATGACTACTGATGGACTTTCGACATCTAGCTGAAGTGGTATTTATCACATTTCCCTTTACACTTTCTCCTCCTACTTCACTTTGTTAAAAATTATCATGAACAGAGCCAGGCAGCAGTGGCTCACACCTGTAATCCTAGCTACTCAGGAGGCTGAGATTTGAGGATCCCAGTTCAATGCCAGCCTGGGCAGGAAGTTCGTGAGACACTTATCTTCAATAAACCACCAGAAAACCGGAAGTGGCGCTGTGGCTCAAGTGGTAGAGTGCTAGCCTTGAGCTGAAGAGCTGAGGGACAGCGCCCAGGCCTAGAATTCAAGACCCACAACCAACCAAAAAAAAAAAAATCATGAACAATCCACAGATTAAAAAACAAAACAAAAACTAGAGGTATGGGCTCTATTTCCTTAAGAGTAAAATATCTAATTCACTTGGAATTTTTCTGCATGGGTGATTTGTCCCTTTTCTCCTATTTGTTAGGTTATTCAGCCCCTTATTTATATCACTGTAGAACCATGAATATCTATTCTATGTTTTGGGTTATAACCCAGAGTGACTTTGTGCATACCGTTACCCAAACTGTTGTAGTTGGGCAGACAAGAACTCTTCCTTTCGGCTCTTGTCCCTCTGTGTCATATATATAAATATAGACTTAAAGAGTTTAGAAAATTGCCTGGCACAGAGAAGGCACAAGTTAATATTAGTCAGATCTGAGCTCTTGATTAACAGCTGGCTGATCTGACAGATTTTTAATCAGTATCTGTCTGTTGTAGTGTTCCTGGACATGTAACTGTTAGAATAATCTTATTCTCCCACTACCTCATATCCAGTTAAGACCATTTTCCAAATTTTAAAACAGTAATTTTATGTCAGGAATTATGAATTTCTCTCACATTCTAGATGTTCTAAAAATGTCATTAGTAATTGAATTGGAATCACTTTAGTCATTATTTCAATTATGTCCTGTACAGCCAGGAAAAGGGACAGAGCATATATCCATAGCATATTATTCTATATAATTTCAGCCCATTGCTTCAGTTTTGGCTGAAATGGTAGTTTAATGTTTGAATCAGAGATCTAAGTTCAGTTTCCAGTTCATCAGAGCCTTTTATTTTATGGCTCAGTCACTTATTGTCTCTGAGCACCCTCTTGTATAACATTACACAGTGCATAGATGAGGCTGGGAACACAAACTAGTACACAGGAGCTACCTGATACCAACCATCCCACAAGGCTCATTGGTAATAATAGTCACTTTTACTATGAACTTTCCCCACCAGCAACTCAATACCCACAAATCATACTCCTTCCCTAAGAACATAAGTCAAAATGAAGAAAATAGAAATATTTACCACCACATCATTTAAAGATAAATTAAAATTTATATATCCAACAATAGAAAATGATGGTGAAATATCTCTGATATCACAAAGCAGTATTAGAAATTTCAAGTTGTAAGCCAGGCACTGGTGGCTCATTCCTATAATCCTAGCTACTCAGGAAACTGGGATCTAAGGATCACAGTTCAAAACTGGCCAGGGCAGGAAAGTCCATGAGACTCTTATCTCCAATAAACCACCAGAAAACTTGGAGTGGTGTTGTGGCTCAAGTGGTAGAGAGCTAGCCTTGAACTGAAGAGTGGAGGAATATAGCACCTAGGTCCAGAGTTCAAGCCCCATGACTGACCAACAAAAAAGATTTCAGGTTGTTACCATTAGTATTGAAATTAGAGAACAATATATAATATTTTTTAAAAATTAATGGAGGGGTTGGGAAGGTGGATCAGTGGTAGAGCACTTGCCTTGCATGCCTGAGGCCCTGGGTTCAATTCCTCAGCACCACATAAGCAAAAAGAAAAAAGCCGGAAGTGGTGCTGTGGCTCAAGTGGTAGAGCGCTAGCCTTGAGCTGAAGAGCTGAGGGACAGCACCCAGGCCCAGAGTTCAGGCCCTACGACCAGACCCCCCAAAAAAAATTCATGGAGGAAAGAAAGAGACATCATAATAATAATTATAGCTTCTAGTGTACAGTTTTATGAATGTGTGTGTTTATCCTAAGTAGTCATTTACAATGCAATTCTTACCTTAGTCTGTGGTTTGAAGTTATGTGATTGCATATGAAATTCATCCTTTCGGCAACTATTAGTATCAACAATTTCCTATGGTTGAACTGAATATGTAATTATTTAAATGATGTCATAATGAACTTTGTTACTTAGGAAAGAACGTATAATTAATTTTAAGTAAAACATACTGAATAATACATTACATATAATATATTTTCAGTGCATATGTTATACACTGAATAAAATATTTGTTTAGTATAGATATAAATATTTAATATACATATATTCATGTCTATATCTATTAAAAAACTCAGGTGTACATGTGAAAGAATGGAAATGTTTAATGTGTTTGGCTATCAGGATTATATGTGATTAGATTTACTATAATTTTTATATTTTCCTAGAATATGTTGGATTTATATGCTATTTACAGTTATAAGTACTACTATAAAATTCACCAATCTTGAAAGCCATCTGTGAGACTAAATAAAGCACTTCCTTATAATTTAATACATTTATAATCACCTTTAAGGATACTAACATATTTAGCAGACATAATTTTGTTTCAAATTGTCTTCTACATGATAGAAACTAGGGGAAATATTTTTCTTGTTATTTTAGAGATACATTTTTAATTCCAAGTAAATGCAAGTTTTAGACCGTTCCTGAAATTATATCTTTCAAATATTTAATAGTTCATCCACTGTCTGGCCCATTCTGGGGAGGTCTTACTAGAGAAAATAAACCACCTATATGCTTTTTCTTTTTTAAATCATGTAAGCAAGTAGAAAAGAAGACATGCACTTGACATGATGACTTTCTCTAAAGCTTTTCAAACTTTGGTGATTTAAGTTTTTCCATCTGGACATCATTGAAACTTCCCCACAAGTGTCAGTCTCAACCATGGTGGTCTTTGATTGTCAGCAAAGAAGCCAGCAAGATATTCCTGGCATATTGCCTGTCACTAAGAAACTCAGCAAAAGCTTGCCAGATGAATAAAGGTCACTTTTGAACAAAACCAGGTTATTATAAAGCCATATCCCTATATCTTTTCCTTCTTTTACCAGTAAGTGAGGGGAAATGCAGTATAGATCTCACCCTGGTCATTTTCATACACAAAAGAATATATATAACTACCTCATGCAGTAAGATAACTGTGCAAACTACTCTGAGGGTTTTTGTGGTTGAAAATACATCATTTTCAGAAAAACATATGGAATTGAAGATCATCTTGTCAGCCAAAATGAGTCAGACTCAGAAAAATAGTGCATGTTTTCTCTCATATACAGTATCTCGACCTAAAATAGGGATGTTGTGAATATAAAAGAGGTAATACAATAGGAAGGACAAAGTGGGAGGGAGACATGGTAGAGGAGACAAGAGTGGGGGCAAACTGATGAAGTACACTTAGTTGCCTGTATGGAAATAGAATAATGAAGCCTGTTAAATTATATAAAAAGAGCACCAGGATAAGTGTAACAGGAGTGACTATAATCAATTAGATTGTATGATCTATAGAAATATGATGAAAGCCCTTTGTACAATCAGTTCATTCTAATAATAAGACTACAATTGGTCTCCTATGGATAGCCTGCATTTCTTATATTATTTTCATGGGAAAGGTGGTAGGTGAACATGAGTGTTTTAAATACAGTATCACTAGATCCTTTTCTATAAATGGTGCACGCTCGTAAAGTCACTTATACCCAAGTGTCCTGCCGTGTGGATACCCCAGCACCAGCATGGATTCAATTCATAGTTTCCAACTAAGATGGTGAGAATGTTAAGGCAAGAGCCTTGTTGCTGGCCACCAAGAACTCTGCTTAATTAGCAAATTTAATTGACTGTTCAAAATCCAAAGTGGTGTTACTTTTGCTTCTATTATTCAAGACCAAATTTTATCATTATAAACGGTCATTTTCTGTTTTAGGATTTCATCAAAGGTCTTTCCATCTTACTTCGGGGGACAGTACAAGAAAAACTCAACTGGGCATTTAACTTGTATGACATTAATAAAGATGGCTACATCACTAAAGAAGTAAGCAATGCCTTATCAATATACTTATTACTGGACTAGTTTCATTTCTTTAAATTAAACAATGGCAATTATTAGTCTGAAGAATCGTCTTTTCAGGAGATCCTAAGTATTTTATGCAATGATGGTAGAAAGACATACTAGAACAAAAATGTAGGATGGATAGGACTTGTTTATAGTCACTCCCTGAAGAAAACAGGTCTCCCATCTAGTTATTTTCATACTATTTTAAAAAGTCCTGGAAATGGAATAAAAATAATAGTCAGAATGAGATGGGAGAATATGTTTCCAAACCATGTTTGAATATTTGGTCTAAAATTTACACATACACATACCCACACAGACACATATGGAAACAGAACTTTTCAATCAAGAAATTGTCCTATGGAATAACTGGATGCAATAGTGGATTCTCCAAACACACTTGTAGGCAGGTTCTATGTGAAAGGTAATTTCCAGATTAGCATGCTCTTGTGACACATTGGTTAAACTAACTTAGAACACTGCAAGTTACAAACTGACTCCATATAGAAAGTGCAGATGGGTCACATCCTCGGCACACTCCATGTTCAAATGATCTGCTTCTCTCTGTGCTTCAACAGCTTCTCCAGAGTTGAATTTTAAACTAGGGACTCACAAAAAGGGTCGAGAATCAGTGACGTGAACCTGCTCTATCAGGCACACAGAGGGACGTGTACACCTGGCCCAAATGTGGCTTGATTAAGTACTCTGGGGTTCTGTGTATTAGACAGAGGCCACAAACATGAGAATAGTATGACCAAGGGGCTAACTGTAGGCCTTGTAAATATTAAATGCTCAGTGTCTGGAATTTATCCCAAACAGCCAGTACTTCCTGTACACGCTTGAGCTTAACTACAACATTTGTAACAAAAGCTTCACAGAATGTTTCTACAGTATAAATGTTCATTATACAGTTTTATATCTTTTCGTTGTCTACTAAACATTTTCTCCCACAAGAAAATTGAGTTAATTCTAAAATGAACAGTCTACACTATTGAACCATTTAGAATTCTGTGTCGTTTCCTCTCCTTGCCAGTTTTGAGCTGGTGATGGAGGAGGAGGAATATCTGGTAATCATGATGAAGAAGAGCGGATGTACCTAAGGGAGTATGGAGGGGAGCAGGCACTGAGATTAATGAGTTTTGACATGTTTAGCTTCTGACATCAATAAGTCATTCATTTGCCATGTCCTACTTTGTTACCTGTCAATCAAGAGTCTACATCACTTTCACAATGACCTTCAAGGGATGAAACTGCTATCATCTTATCCTACCCAGGTTGAGTATGGGCCACACAACACCTGGTATTGTAAACTGATGTGTTAATATCTAGGTAGCTCATGGATAATTTATAATTATCATTTACAATTTACAATAAGAATCATTAACAATGATTACTAATGTACAAATATGTAACTCAGCAAAACAGTGGAAATCCAGAACATTCCTTTCTTGTCCCCATTAGACACACAGGAATCTGTTCCGTTTTTGAACTAAGATCAAAATGGATTGACATTCTGATTCTGCCTCTTTTAAGGCAAAAGTCTGTTTACTGCCTGTACCCATGGAAAACCCACAGGCACCTCATGGAGAATCTATTGAAAACAGTTTGTCATAGCTTCTTAGTTTGTTCGTACTCAGTATGCAGCGTCATGCAGGTGTCTTTCCTTTTCAGGAAATGCTTGATATAATGAAAGCCATTTATGACATGATGGGTAAATGCACATATCCTGTCCTCAAAGAAGATGCTCCCAGACAGCATGTGGAGACATTCTTTCAGGTAGGAATGTAAACACAAGTCACAGATGGTGGGAGGGAAACCACGAACAAGTTTCCTAAGGTTTGCAACATGCCATGATTCTAGATACTGAAAAGGAAAAATAATCTTTACTAAGAAGGACAAAATAACACCCTTTCACTCATTTGGCAGTTCTTTCTGAAATTATTGTAGCACTAGCAACCATAGTTACCAAACATTCACTATACCCTAAGTAGAACACGAGCAAATCTCATGTTCCACTAGTTATTTTCACCCAGTTCTCGCAAGGGCCCCCTGAAATGACTAATTTTCATTTTGTTCATTTTACAGATTGGAGGTGGGGGAGGAAACAGGGTTCCAAAAGTTTCAGTAAATTGCTTAAGCTCTGCTATGTTTAGAAAACAAGATTTTACCTGTCCACACAATTACAACATACTGAGTTAAGACCATGGAAGGTCTATGGAAATCTAGACACAAGTTATTTTCATCCAGTTGCCAGGCCTCTGTGATATTATAAATTCTCACTACTTTCATTTTACACATGCTCTGAAAGATTCAGCAGAATGCCTGAGCTCAGTTAAGTTGACAAAACAGAATTCTTACCTAGGGCAGAATGACTCTAGAGAATACAGCCTGGAACAATTTGCATGTGGTTCTAAGAAATCACTGTATTTCTGCTACACTAGTTACTTCACATAAATCAGCAGATGGGCAAGCTAGCCTTCCCTCCATTCCACCTCAGGTTCAGTGGGTATCAAAGGGGTATTAAGAAGTAAGTTTGAATGATAATGCTGTTTTTCCTGCTCAACAGAAAATGGACAAAAATAAAGATGGGGTTGTTACCATAGATGAGTTCATCGAAAGTTGCCAAAAAGTAAGTCATAAGAGGAAAAATTAGCCTTTTTGTTTTCCTACCAGCCACCATGAGTATAGCTAGTTAGCTAACATGAACTGAGCCAAATATTTTATATTTTCCTGAGTCTGGCATTTCTACAGCAGGCAAATAGCCCTGATATATTCTGAAAACAAGCACCAATTTATGCATTCTTCAGTCAACTTTCAAGAGTATCTCTCTTTGAGGTAGGCCATGTTGGAAGTCCTAGAGATATAAAACTTACCCATTAGTATTTTAACTTTACATAGGCAATTGGAATTCCTCCTTTCCATGACTTAGCATATGATATGTAACGACATGCCAGCACAGCAAAGTACGCATGAAGCTTATGTGCTTTTTTAAAGACAGATAAGATTGCTTTCATGAATGTGGGTAAAGGAGGAGGCTACAATGCTTGATAAGAAATGTACTCATTATCTTGTCCTTGTAATTGTAACCCCTCGGTACAATATTTTCACAATAAAAAAGAAAGAAATGGGCTGAACCCAGTAGGTCTTCAGTTACAAAAAAAAAAAAAAAGAGTTGCAAATACTCAGTGGAAAAAAGTGGGTTATGATTGGCCCTCTGAGAAATCAGTGCTAGCTTGCTAATGGGTAGCATAGTGAAGAACTTTAAAAATAAGTATAGGGAAAGTTTGTTGTACTTCTTGTTTTCCCTTTATTTGCTCATCCTATTCACTTTTCTTGATGCCTATTCATTTCTCAGCTATTTCAAAGATGTGTCTGCAAGAATCAACTTGGTGACATCAGATTGCTTCGTAGTGATGTTTGTTATTTGTTTTTAAGCCATTACTCTTCAGCCACAATTATTATTTTTTGGCCTGATTAAGAGACACTTATTTGTGCTCTGCTGAAGCTTCTCTGTCCCCTGTTTTTTTGTGTATTTTTTAAATTATTCAGTAGTTTTTAATCTTTTTATATTATTAATAGGTAGTTGTACAAAGAGGTTACATGTCCGTGAATGTCAGATTCTTCATCGGGGCCACTCTTTCCACCATTCTCCCCGCATCTCCCCCTCCCATTCCTATCCTCATGCTACACTATACAATTATCCACAATGTAAGTGACTATAATGACTGACTTTGCAGCTACCGTTTATCAGGCTAAACAGCCCACAAAGAGCATATGGCACGTAATTTCTAAGTGTTTATAAAATATCCAGTTTATCATTCCTTAAGAATATGCTAATATGAATCCAGCCACTGCAACAGTTAAGACTTAGTGACCCTCTCTCTGGCACTGAGAACACTTTCATTTTTAAAGGTTCCTGAAGGCCGCACGGTGTTAGTCATCACTGGCAGGTAGGGAAAGGTGATGTGGTCACTAGAAACATCCACTACTTTGTGTGCCAGCTCCTGGGTTTAAGACTGTGATGTGGTTTGTGATCTACCTTTGATTATGATGTCAAAATTCTTATCTGCTCATTTTTATTTACCCCCCCCCCCGAACTCTATTAACATTCTGGCTTTATGATTTGAGAAATATCCTCTGCTAATAAGAAGAAAAATTTAAATGACGTATTTTAAGCCTACTAGACACAAGAAAACATAGAACAGGCCTTTATGATAGTGTTACCAGAGAAATGCCTAGAATGGCGTTTGCGTCTTGCAAACAGAATGTGTGCTGTTGGCAGAAGTCAATACAAAGGAGGCTACAACTGTATACTTCCCACTGCAGATATACTGAATTTAGTGCTTTTCTATTTCTCTCTTACAGGATGAAAATATAATGCGCTCCATGCAGCTCTTTGAAAATGTGATTTAACTTGTCAAATAATTCTCAGACCAATGTGAACAACTCTACCACATTTAAAGATGGAGCTACCACTTTTAGCATAGATTGCTCAGCTTTACACTGAGGCATATTATGCAACAAGCTTTGTTTTAATATAAAACCATCCCCACCCCACCCCCAATTTATGTTTTCCCATTATAAATCTGCATCCATTTCATAATGTCACTGAGTTCATGAGATGTTCTAACTCATTTCATACTCTGTGAATATTCAGCAGTAATAGCATCCAGCACAGTTTTGATTCTTTAGCCAAGGGATTAATGAGGCTTTCACATATCAGTGATTTTAAAATATCAGTGATTTTGCTACTCATTTGTATGCTATCAGTCCTAGGACTTTAAATGGGTTTTCTAAAATATTTACGTCGGCTTTTAATTTCCAAAAACCAATTTTCATTTAATTCCATTAACAACCACCACCAAAATTATGACAACCATAGCAACAAACAAAAAAGCCCCACACAGCCGCAATTTCTATGAATTCTCCACCTTCTGTTAAGGACATCAATTTATCTGGCTTTTATTAAATAACATTTAACAAGTTACGTTTGTTATCAGATGTCATTATATGTCTAACAAAGCTTATTTTATTAAGCATTTGTTTATTTTCTATGATGCATACTCTTGCCAAGGCCTACAAAATACATATAATTTAGGATTTATTCCATTATACAGGTGGACTGTTTTCTACTTGATCACTAAGCTCAAGAGGGTGTTATACAAAGCAAGGATGTTTACAGATATGTGTGAAACATTGGGCTATCTGTCCTCTAATACATAGCACCGCTCAACAACACGCAGTCTTCAACAGTCCAATTCCATCCCTTTCTCCTAGCATCCTCATCCTGGCATCCTCACAGTATGCTTGTTTTATAAGCCCTTCAGGGACAAAGAGACCTGACCACCCTTCAAACTGGCTAGGAACAGGAAGTAAGCAGAGTTCCCTAGGAAAACACCCTGATTCCATCCTATTGGGAACTACTACCAAGATTTCATAGGAAATGAATATAAACATGGAACAACTCATCTGATTGCATTATGATTTAGCTTATCATAAATCTCCAACAATGCAGATTCCTTTTAATGATATTAAGGCAAAACTGTAAAGCTGCCACAACTATAGAAACACTCATCTTCCCTGTTTTGTGGAAATATGTAAAAGACAGAGAGGCTGCAGGAGGAGGAAATTTGCAACTGTCTTTGCAACACTAAATCAGGTATCTATTCTGGTGTAGAGATAGGATGTTGAAAGCTGCCCTGCTATCACCAGTGTAGAAATTAAGAGTAGTACAATACATGTACACTGAAACTTGCCATCGCGTGTTTGTGTAAACTCAATGTGCACATTTTGTATTTCAAAAAAGAAAAATAAAGCAAAATAAAGTGTTTATAACTCTACTGTCTACATTCTAGGACTTTTTTTTTCTAACTTGATTTAGGATTACTACATTGTTTTTCTTAGGGAAAACACACACACACACACACACAAAGTGAATTATAAAGCAAAGCCAGTGGACAGGTAACTCATATACCTGGTGTGACCTGAGAATGTGACAGGAGCTAGACATAAGGAAATGAGTTCCAGAAAGCCCAAGGCAAATGTCTGCAGGAAGATGGGTCTTTCAGCTCTGCAACCCCTCAGAAACTATCTGTGTTCTCTCACTTAACAACAGTGAGACTCTCTGAAACAAGAATTTCAAACAAAGTCAATCCCGGTGTTGCAGAGAAAGAGCAAAGAAGGAAAGGGTGCTCTCGGCAGTTCTGGACTACGGGATTGCTCGTCTCTGCGCTCTGTGAAGTATCATGCTGTGGACTATGGGATTGCTCGTCTCTGCTCTCTCTGAAGTATCACGCTGTGTGAATGTGGTGCAACCACACAAATCGTTAAAAGATTTTGTGCCAGTTCCAACCTCTTACTCATTTTTCCCATTTTTCTTTTTCTACTCTCCTCTTACAGGTAGACAGTCCATTCCAACTATGTCAAAACTTCTGAATTTTATCTATAAATTATAACTTGAAAACTTTTAAAGAGGGCTGGGAAGGTGGCTCAGTGGCAGAGTGCTTGCCTTGCATGCCTGAGTCCCTGGGTTCGATTCCTCAGCATCACATAAGCAGAAAAAGCTGGAAGTGGCGCTGTGGCTCAAGTGGTAGAGCTCTAGCCTTGAGCTGAAGAGCTGAGGGACAGCGCCCAGGCCCACAGTTCAGGCCCCACATCCAGAAAAAAAAAAAAAAAAAACTTTTATGTATTTATTTCTTTATTTATTTTGGTCCAGTCGTGGGGCCTGAACTCTGGGCCTGGGTGCTGTTCCTCAGCTCTTCAGCTCAAGGCTAGCGCTCTACCACTTGAGCCACAGCACCACTTTCAGCTTTTTTCTTTTTGCTTATATGGTGCTGAGGAATCGAACCCAGGGCCTCAGGCATGCAAGGCAAGCACTCTACCACTTAACCACCTTCCCAGCCCTCAAAAAAAAAAACTTTTAAAGAGCAAATTTTTGTTAAATACAAGCCAGAACAACAAAACCATTGAATGCATAAAAGTATTTTAATTTTTGAGTATCTTTGTATGTACATCAATATTTTCAGGCTATGAAATTCAATTAACACCTAAAGTTTAGGCAATTTTAACAAGTTGTAAAAAACAACATAGTTACAATAGAATTCGAATATTTAAAACAAACTTCCTAAACTAGAATTCTCTGGAATGAAATCCTTCCAACCATTCTACATTATAAAATGCATATTTAGAAAAAACTAAGAGTGAGTTCCCAAATGCATATATTCTATTTTAAATTTCTCTAGCTCTAAAAAATAATACAAAAAGCAAAAAATAGCCAAAAGAACAATCGCTAGAAATAAGTGCACAGCTACAAAAAATTGGCAAAGAAATGTTTTAAATAAAAATGTACTAGAAAATAAATACATCTGATCATATAAATTCAATAATGGTTTTTCATACTATGATCTAACCAAGAAAAAAGACCTACAAAATTGTACTATTATAGAATTCTTTTAATAGCTTTCCATTATTACCTGTCTGTTTTTGTTGACAACATTTACTATGATTCGGCTGGACTACGTACACTCCCCTTGATCGAACAGCTAGTGAATTGTGGATGTGATCTATAAAAGAATAAGCTGAACTGAATAAATGGTCCATGTGCACATGTGGTTCAGAGTGTGACACTTGCAAGAAAGAAGCAAGACAACTCTTGTGGTTTCCCTTTGTCAACAGCATATAGAGCAGTAAGTTGGAATTTTGGATTTGATGATTAGAAGGCTTGCCTGTCAACAGGAAAAAAAATATAGCATCATTAAAGAAATAAATACATTAACCTAGTATGTCTTTATTACACTTGTAATATACCCCAATAGTTAAAACTCAATTCAAAACAAATAAAAAATAAGAACAAATTTATAGGATAAATAGAACTTTTAAGAAAAAATACAGATAAACATTCTTGAGCATTTAGAAAAGTAGAAACCAGACCCAACTTTAAATTTAGCTTTTCTAACCCTCTTTTCTGTTAAACCTGGACCAACTTTCCCATCTCATTCCTTGATCTTTCAAGGAAGGTATCAGCAAAAGCTATCTCAGAAGATTGTCAAGAATAGATAAGTTGACATGATGAATTGAAACTACTTTATACAACTACTAAAATAATTTTTAAAAAGTTTAATTGAAGCTGGTGGCTCATGCCTGTAATCCTAGTTACTTAGGAGGCTGAGATCTGAGGATCACAGATCAAAGTCAGCCCTGGCAAGAAAGTCTGAGAGACTCTTATCTCCAATAAACCACTCAGAAAACTGGAAGTGACACTGTGGCTCTAGTGGTAGAGTGCTTTCCTTGAGCTGAAGAGCAGAGTGACAGCACCCGGGCCCAGAGTTCAAGCCCCACGACTGACAAAAAAAAAACTGAGTTTAATGCCTAAAAAGTGTTGAGCAAAATATGCTACACAGTGCTTATACATTCAATAAAAAGTAAAAATTGGGATTTGTATAAATTTTTGCCCTTCTGAAGACAAATGATCGTATTTCTTAGAAAAAAAATTAAATCAGGCTAAGAATGAACAGATTTCAATTTAAGGTAGGTAAAACTGAGTAATGAGAAAGTGACTCAGTAATAGATATTTTCATTAAGACTTCACATTATCATATTATATGGGAGCCATAAGAAAAGAGTCTCATTGGGCAGGGAAGGTGGCTTAGTGGTAGAGTGCTTGCCTTGCATGCATGAGGCCCTGGATTCGATTCCTCAGCACCACATAAGCAGAAAAAGCCAGAAGTGGCGCTGTGGCTCAAGTGGAAGAGCGCTAGCCTTGAGCTGAAGAACTGAGGGACAGCGCCCAGGCCCAGAGTTCAGGCCCCACAACACCCCCACCCCTGCAAAAAAAAAAAAAATGAGTCTCATTACTAATGTTTAAAAAAACTGATATGTACTTTTGAAGTTCTTAGAAAGAATAGTATTTATTGAACTCCTGAAGGCACACAAAATAACAAAAGGAAGCAGCATAATAATTAAGCCAACAGAAAGTTTTCAATATGTAATTTCAATTTTTAAAAGTCTATTGCAATGATATCATTACAGATATATTTCGTGAGACATAATCAAGAGAGAAAATAAGTCTGAAGAAAACAGATAATACTTAAAATAGGAATTTAAAAAAGAAACACTTTCTTAAGCAACATTCAAAGCTAGTAGGACTATGTGGCAATCCAGAAGAACTTACTCTATTCATGCACTGGACTGGGCAAGCACACTCCCTGTATTCAGCTCCCAATCTTAGAGTGTTCTTTCTAAAATTTATTACATGTCAACTCATTCCTCTCCCTTGCCAACAACATACGGACATCCATAAAATATCACAGGAAGATGAAAAAACTGTCTGGGGAGGGCAGGCTCATTAAGAAGCTATCATCACTTCTCAGGGAAGGAAAAGGGCAGATACCTTTTTGCATTCCAATTCTTAAAACAGTAAAGTACGTTTGCCAGCAAGCCCTTCACCCCTCTGCTAAAGGCAAAGACAGATAGGGCTGGGTGGGCACATTGCAAATATTTTGTGAATACTGATTCTTTGCCTAGGATGTAAAACCCACAAAGAAGTTTGTTGTCTAGCAGGCTTAGGGATTTATTTATTTTTTATTCTAAGTATACCATGGAAAGCACAGAAATTATTGAAAAAAATTATTGAAAGTAGGTAGTTTATATAATTTAGCCAAACCCATTTTAAAGTTGTATACAATCATACCAACTTGATTGCAACCAATTCTTTCAGAAAATATCTAAAATAAAACTAAGTTCTGCTGGGTGCCAGTGGCTCACATCTATCATCCTACTATTCAGGAGGCTGAGATATGAGGATGGTGGTTCGATGCCAGTCGGAGCAGGAGACCGTAATCTTCAATTAAACACCAGAAAACCATAAGTGGTGCTGTGGCTCAAAGTGGTAGAGTACTAACCTTGAGCAAAAAATCTCAGGGTCAGTGCCCAGGCCCTGAGTTCAAGCCCCACAACTGACAAATAACAACAACAACAAAAAACCACCTAAGTCCTGTAACGTTAAGAAAAATGACATGCACTTCTATCATCTGATAAAATAATCTCCATGGATTATGAAAACATTTGCAAAACTATGAGTCTGAAAACTTCTCTCAATAGTAATAAAATATCACACATTCCTGCACCTTGAAAAGTTAGAATAATGAGCAGAAGTGTTTCAGAGTGCGGCTCAAGTGGTAGGGTACTTGCCTAGCAAACATGAAGCCTGAGCTCAAACCCCAGTACTGCCAAAACAATGGATAAGAACATAAAATAAAAATGAAGGCGAAGAAATGTATACCAGTGAGTGTTCTGAACAAATCCTTTCATTTTTACCCTGAACTTTCCAATGGTCAAAACAAAACTCTAAACTAGTTTAGGAAAAATCTAAGCCTATTCCACATAGAATGCCACACAGCAAGCACAGGGAAAGTGTATCACTTCTACTTACCTGCCCTGTTTTTCAAAACTGTGGCCTCAGCAAGACAGAAGCCCTGAGCTCTAAAACTAAAAATAACTCACCTTCATGAATTACATGTAGCTGACATGAGATAACATATGCAAATATGCGGCCACTTTATTCTAGCACTACAAGCAAAACGACAAAACAAAACCACCAAAGCCCACATATTCTACTTACATTTCCACCATGCTGCTCAAGCTTCTGTAATGCACTAGTGATGGGCTCCTTGAACTTCTTATCCATTAGTCTCTTGGAAAGCTTTTGAAATAATATTGGGCAAAGGAGATGAAAAGATTGGAAAAAAGTAACAATACTCATCATAAACAGAAGTAAACTTTATAAGTAACTATTTAAGGGCTTGAGACTTCTTTTATGTAACATTAACATCCACATATGATCGACAATGCTCTATTTGTTTAAAAATGAACTTACATTATTTCAAGTATTACAATATCTACTATACAGCATAATACTTAGAGTAAGTTTCCTGTGAAATGGCATATTTTCCATTTGTTATATGGAAGCACGTTTGGAGCACTATGATAGAAAGCTGTACCTCTAAAATATGAGAATGAAAAATGGAGAAAAGTATGCTTTGAAAACATAATTATGTAAGATAGCATATACGCACTGCTTATAATTCAAAGCCAATCCACACAGGTATAACACTATACTGTTAATTATTTGTACTCTTTAAACTTTTGCTTACTTTTATTTTAAGTCTACATTCTGCTCTTCTAAGCACTTACAATTAAAAAAAATAAGAGTTTTCAAGACACCTTGATCAGTTGGAAGACATTAAATTACAAAGAAACAAACACTCTACCATGTTCTATTCTCTGTAGTACTTACGCTTGTCAGCAGGTGTTTCAGATGGTCATTAAGAGAAGGACCAACGACAACACTTAATTGTACCAGGGCACTCAACCCTCTCACAAACACTTCATCATCTGAATGGATCTGTGTGGATGGGGGGCGGCAGGGGGAGTAGCAAGAAGGGAGAACAGGTAACAAAAAAGAGCAAAGGGTGAAGAAAAGGACAATTAAACATTTAAAATAAGAACAATCACTAAACACCAAAAGTTTTAAAACTTTCATTATTTAGAATATACCAAGCATACAAAAAAAAACAAAACTTGAGGCTTAGTGACTCCTCTAATTGTATGTGGCCTTACTCCACACATAGATCAAACTCACAAGGAAAGGACTGTTTTGTATATAATTGTGTGTGTGATGGGATATTCTGCTTTATTTCTCTCAGGTATTTTAAGATAAAGAAGTGCGGTGAGATAAATGACATACCAGAGCCGCCTTTAGCACAGGAATCAGTCTAGGTAGCAAAGGTACAGCCTTTTCAGAAGCACCTTTAACTAAAAGTAACTCTCTAAAACCCTCCTTGGACACAAAGGTGTATGGATGCTTTGTTTCTCTCAGACCCTGCCAAATACAACATAAAAAACAAAAGCAAAATTAGGATTCATGGCTATTTTATTGTATCAATTATAGAAAAGCTAAATCCTCATTAGCCTGAGTGAAAAATCCAAACTTTAATTATAGTTTTGCTCATCATGATATATAATTTCAGCAATTATGATTTCAATTACACTGAGAAACTGTAGAACAAAAAGACACACATAATAAAGGAGGAATCTTTATCCTCAGAACAGGAGGAAGAAAGACAATATGAAAAGTGAAAGGATTGGGAAAAGGAAAGAAGAGGTAAGTAGGAAGTAAGGAAAAAGAAGAGAAAAAAGAAGGGAAAGTAATGGTACATAAAAAGATAAAGGAGAGGCTGGGAAGGTGGCTTGGTGGTAGAGCGCTTGCCTTGCATGCCTGAGTCCCTGGGTTCGATTCCTCAGCACCACATAAGCAAA